AGTATATTTTTATTTTTAATTAGATTTAATTATTTAACTTTATTCAGTTATGATTACTTAAATTTTTTTTGTACTAATTCATAATATCCAAAAATCACATTGAATCCTAATAAATTCAAAATTAAGTTTGGTTAGACCCATATGGAGAAAGATCTTTCAACACTTATTTTTGTATTCGTAAGACTTGAATTCAAGATTTTATTTAAGAGAACCAAATTAATTCTTTCCATACTCAGACCAACAAGTCATTGATTTTATAATTATAATTATGATTTCGTGCTTATCTATGGTTTCATTGTTCCTTTTTTTATGATTACTTAATTAGCAAGTGAATTTTGTGGGTCTTTATTTTAAATTTTTTAACATGAGTTATTTTGCAGTTGAAAAACTTGCAAGTGTTCACAACTTGGATTGTGACAAGAAGGATAAGAAAGATCTTGGGTACAGTGTATTAAATTTTTTGTGTTACAGTGTATGGAACTGATCTCAAAAGATAACACAAATTAGTAAAGAGAATTTAGTATTTTTATTTTTAATCAGATTTAATTATTTTACTTTATTCATTTATGATTGCTTAATTTTTTTTTTGTACTGACCTCTCGATATTCAGAAATCATATTGGATCATGACTAATATGGAATTGAGTCAAGTTGGATTCCATATAAAAAAAACTTTCTTAACGTCTGTTTTTCCATTTATAAGATTCGAATTTAAGATCTTGTATAAAAATAATCACAATCTTTTCGCTCGGATCAAAAAATCATTGGTTTTATAATCATGATTATGATTAAGATTTCGTCCTTATCTATGGTTTCATTGTTCTCTTTTTTATGATTACTTAATTAGCAAGTGAATTTTGTGGGTTTTTTTTAAAAAAATTTTTTGACATGAGTTATTCTGCGGTTGAAAAACTTGCAAGTGTTCACAACTTGGATTGTGACAAGAAGGATAAGAAAGATCTTGGGTACAGATTCGTTAGATCCATTTGGGGACCAAGAACTGCTAAAAACTGAGCAAGATATGGGTAGTGGATTGTGCACGTAAGGTACTAATTATTGAACTTTTGGCCAACATTCTCCAAACCCGCCACAACTGCCTCTGCCATTTATATCAAGTACGATTGTGTTTCTTGTAAGGGGAAATGTTAATTTCGACCTCATATATATTTATGCAAAGACATTAATATCCCCCAATAATTAGCAACTCTTGAAATATCAAAAGAAAAAAAAAAAAAACAATTGGCGAGTCTTGATTTTGTAATGTTTTTATTGTTCCTTGGGACCTATCTCTGGGGACACAACAGCACCAAAGCTCAACATCGTCAAAAGAGAGGTCAAATTTGTGCAGCAGGATCAAATCTGCACGGTATAGCAGAACAGCACCAGCCCAATATGTTTGGATACAAATTTTTGTTTGGGAATAATCCAGTATAAATGTATAAAAATGAAAATTCCGAATCCAATATCTCTTTTAATTTCTTGCCTCCTTTACCTAAAACTAGTTTAATTACCTATCTTAATATCTAATGAGTCTTGTGTTTTTATTCTTTGGATTGTATATAAAATATTGATAATTAGATAAATAGATCGGTATCTATTATTAAAAACTTTTTATTATTTAATAATTAATATTTTATAATATGATATAATTTAGAGTAAAAAATATTTTTTTGACATACAATGCAATATGAAAAGGAAAACTGATTTGAAAGAGAAGCTTCCTTTTTTATATGGTAAGTTTTGTTTTGGAGTTTTGTGCAAAGTTGTATTGTGGTTGAAGTTTTGGTTAAGTTTGTGTTGTTGTATTTGGTTATTATTACGAGTGTAGGGTTTGAGTAATTACTTTCCATTGTATCAAAGTATTATATTTTGTCTTTGAGTCAAGAATATATTTATGATGACTATAGTATGAATGGCTCCTTGAATCTTGACAACAATTTTATTTTACAGTTTATAATTTATCAAACTGTAGGATATAAATTATTAAATGAGAGAGAAAACTCTCGATATTAAGAGGTTTGCATTAATTTAATAATTAAAATTGTATAATTTGAAATAACATGTATTATACGTTACTTTTTCTTTGTTGAAATAAGGGATGGGCTTAACTTTTTTTTTTAAAAAAAAAAACTTATATAAGGTATTAAATGCTATATATTTGTTAAAAAAATATAAAATTTTATAAAAATAACATATTATTTTAATACTTAATGCTTACACTAAGGGAAATAAAGAGAAAGAATTGTATTTTTCTATTTATTTTATTTAGATAAATAAATAAATTAAAAAAATAAATCAGAGGACTTTCTTCCCTTCCATTCCCTTTTATTTTTTTATAACTAAGTAAATTTTTTTTTTCTCTTTCATTCCGTCCTTTTATTTTTTAATCTAAATATACTATTAGTTATAAGATTTTAATTAATTTTTAAATTATTAAAAAATATATAAAACTAAGAAGTGAGAGAACTAAAATGGAGCAAGAGAATATTATTAACCCAGAGGTCGATGGTGTTGAACTCAAAAAAAAAAAAACAAAAAAACAAAAAAACAAAAAAGAAAGAAAACCCAACGGTGGCCTGTGTGGACGGATAACCGATCGAGAATTATTTTGTAATTAACAAGCGGTGATGAGCGTAGATGCACGCTCCCTTGTAGCGGTGGCCCTGTGAGGCAGGGTTAATCTTAACAAATCTGTGGAATAAAAAATTAAAAATGGCTTTGATTCCTGGACAACTTGCTGAGGGTATCCGAGGACTTGTTTTGGGCAAAACACGCCAGCAAGGTTATAGACTTTTAGCCTTTTCCTATACAAAGGCTATCAGCTTCCATTTTTCACAATCAAGGCTATGAATTCGTTGTTTTTCCTATAGAAGTTAATATTTAATGGCAGAAACTGATGTAGCCATAGATAACTTTTTTTTTTGGAACTAGGGGAATTGGGAGAAGTAGAGGGGGAATGGGGAACAAGGGGTTTTGAACCTAATAATGTAAGTGAAACACTCACATAATAACCATACGAGTTACGTATTAAGATTTAATCATAAATAATATTTTATTAGCAAAAAGGTCCACATTAGTAATCTATGGAATATTCTTCCTCATCATTCCTCTACCTCATCTCCTCATTGTTTGTGAAGATTACCAATTTGCATCTACCTCTTTTGGTTTATTAATGCAAATACATTTTCTTCCTCACATGCTATTTCTCTATATTTTCTTCTTCTTCTTCTTCTTCCTCTCTATCCTTTGTTTCTTCCCTCTTGATATTATTGCAAGAGAATCAAGAAGTTAAAAGAATATTCTCATCGATTTCTTAGTTCATGAAGTGAGTATCCTTAAAAATTTAGAAAAATAATCGACAAATACCAGTGCTTTATATATTATATGTACAGAACATTTGGGGATTAAGGCTTCATTCATCTTCATCTTTTAATTATGAGATTAATCTGAGTACTCAAACAATGAAATAGGAATAAGAGATTTGGGGGGATGAAGATGCTACGGCTGAGGAGAGGACAAACAAGGAGAAGAATATCATTGGTAGATGGAATGAGAGAGATGGAGGAACAACGTACAGAGTTTTTTTTTTTTTTAATATAATCTTTTAAGCAATTTTTTAAACTTGTGGTTATAACCATGTCATGAAAGTGTAGTCCAGATCTACTAAAAAGTCATCCATGTCACCTAAATGTGGACCTACTCACGGAACTAAATGAACACATCCATTAATTCACGTCCAACATGGCATTGAATAGAAAAGCATGAACTTCATAGCCTTGATTAAAAAAGGTAAAAAGTCAGTAGCCTTGT